CAGGAGAGGAGAGGCAGGAGGAGGGAAATAATTATTTAGTCTTGGTTGGGGTCCTTCTTGTATCAGTGTCCATCAGGAGAACTCTAAAAGCTGGAGTCAGTCTGAGAATAGCAGCCCTTCTTTAGCCAGGAGTTCACTCTGGTGATTATCACTGTCCAGGTACCCAGTGCGGGTATTTACGGACAAGTGACGTTAATAAGAAAGGCTGTTTCTTCTGTCACTTATTAAGTCCCTATTATGGTCAAAATAGTGCTAAGCAGTTTTGAGAAGTAAGAGAGCTTGAATACTTTATCCTTGTCTTCAGCTACTGGATGCAAGTAGTCACTGTTACTTTTCTAGTTGACTGGACGGGTTATGCAAACACGAAGCAATGTTAGAACGTGGAAGCACCTGCTTCTGAGCAGAAACAGGATAGAATGTGCTCAGAACAGAACCTCCTTTGAACGTCAGAGTTTTATTAAATACAAAAGAGAAACAAATGAGGGGAGTGGGGTGCAGGGAGAAGGTGACTGTTCCTAGAGAATAGAAACCACTTAGTTTATCATGTCCGATAAACAACACAACTGAAAAGGAGTCAGCACAAGTTTTATCTGTTATCTATCAATCATCTGTCTATCTATTTATCATATCTATCTATCATCTATGTATCTATCTATATTTATCTATATCTATCTATATCTATTTTTATCTATCTATCGATCTATCTCTATCCATCCATTTATAAATCTCTATCTATCTATCTATCTATCTAATCTATCATCTATCTAAATCTATCTTTTGCCAAAAGGCACTTGTATTTGCCAAAGGTAGACAGAGAGACAGAGAGAGAGGGAGACAGGGAGAAAGCACCCTCTCAATGGGTGTGATGTTGCCACGACTCTTGAGAGAGAGAGAGACAGGGAGAAAGCACCCTCCCAGTGGGTGTGTTGTTGCCACGACTCTTCTCCTCCATTTTGCCATCCCGTCAGGAGTTTGGGCATGGAGATCTGCACATGCTCCTGACGTGTTTGTTCAAACCCCAGTCAGCCACGTGAGATCTGGCTCCCTTAGCCACTAGGCTAGTGGGCCAGCCCTCAGCATAGATTTTTAAATAAGGATAAAAAAATTTAGATTTTTTGTTTCTAATTTAGTCTGGAAGAGGAAGTAAAAATGCCGAGGAATTGGGAGTCAGAACCTCATCTGAAGTGAGCTGCTCAGTGAGGTGAGCTTGGCTGACTGTGGGTCATTTGTGCTTGGAGAAGGCCTCTGAACTTAGAGATGGAAGTGATTTTATAACTTAGGATCAACTACAATTATCCTTCAGATCTCAACTCAAATGCCATTTCTTCAAGGTCCTTCCTGACCTGCTGGATTATTAATCCTATTTGAATGTTCTTTGTTGTTGCTGTTCCCATTGTTGTGCTAGAATTAAGTTAACTTCCCTGATTAATTCACAACACCTTAGTAACACTGGTCAGTACAAGGATTCCCTCCTTGATTTCAGCATCTCCTTTCTCATTTTCTCTCCTCTGTAGGAACCCATTCTACCTGTGTCTGGCATGCCTTTAAGTATGAGGGTAGACTTGAAAAATATGTGGTATTGCTTTTGTGTGTGAATTTTAGAAAGTTAATAAATATTATGCAGTGAGTCACATTCTGTGTCTTTTCTCACTTAACACTGCTTCTGAGCACGCCAAGGTCAAAATGCCTCCTCTCAAATCCACATGGATTATCCACAATAATTTACTAGGTATGGGTTTTCCCAGGAGTTGGAGCTGGTTCATGGTTCTGTTTTTGTTTTTCCAGAAGATTTTGTGATTCAAGCTAAGGCTGACTGCTACTTCACCAACGGGACAGAAAGGGTGCAATTTGTGGTCAGATTCATCTTCAACATGGAGGAGTATGCACGTTTTGACAGTGACCTGGGCATGTTTGTGGCGTTGACGGAGCTGGGACGGCCGGACGCTGAGCTGTGGAACAACCGTCCGGATATCCTGGAGAGGAGCCGAGCGTCGGTGGATGAGGTCTGCAGGCGGAACTACGAGCTGGGTGCGCCTGTCACTGTGCGGAGGAATGGTGAGGAGGACGGTGGGTCTGCTGGGTTCAGGAATCTGCCCCACGCACACCTGGTCATGGCTCTTCTTCCTATGACGGGCCACTTTCTGCTTCAGGATCTGTTCTGTCCTCAGCTGTGAGTTACACATCCTCACGGATCAGGGCATTGTAGGCCTTGGTTCATACCCTCAAGGCTCTCGGGGACTTTGAGGACTAGGAGGGGTAATTGTGCAGTCCTCCTGGTGGTGAAGTCCCAGTCCTCCTGGTGGGCATTGATGTCTTCTGCTTCTGTGTCTTGGGTCCTGAGATTTCTCTACACTTTCCAGCTTCCCCTTGGGTGATCTGGGAAAGAAAGTAGGGGTTGTGGGATCAGCAGTTAGCGTAATGGCTATGTCACTGGACTCCCACATAGTCGACCATGGTTCGAGTCCCGGACTCGGTGGCTTAAACTCATGCCG